GTTACAGCAGCTTAGTGGTAATGTGAAGATCAGAAACTGGGTTGACTCACCCCCCCATCCCTTTTCTGGAATTATACTCAGTGATTCTGCCTGGTAAAGAAAATATTAACTCAGCCATTAGGTGCCCCTTTTACCTCTTTGGGGACCTAGGAATCTGTACCAGGGAAGAGTTCCAGGGCGGACCAGTCTCAGAGGGAGGGGAAAAAGCTTCTGCAGCCAGGGTGGGCTTCCCCGAGGGATGCAGACCATGCTGAGTAGGGGCTAAGGTCTGAGACTGGTGACCCCTCCTGCTGCCACCTCCTGGGATGGGAGCCGTCTACCTGGGGGGTACCCTCAAAGGCAGTGACCTTGATCCCACCCAGAACCCTCCTAGGCTCAGGACCCTGTTCCAGGTTCTAACAACCCCAAGGGCTTTTGTTGGAGGCTCTGGCTGAGGTCCTGCACTAGTCCAGGTTTGAAATAACAAATTTGCTTCACTGGGCGCCTGCTTCCATCTTGTCCTTTTTTCTCAATTTCCCCTAAAATATATATATGAGTGAGTGTGTGTGTCTGTGTGTGTGTGTGTGCTTTGAGGTTGCTCCTGGGGGACTATTAACTAAGAATAATCTATCCGGGGGCTTCCCTGGTGGCGCAGTGGTTGAGAGTCCGCCTGCCGATGCAGGGGACACGGGTTTGTGCCCTGGTCCGGGAGGATCCCACATGCCGCGGAGCGGCTGGGCCCGTGAGCCATGGCCGCTGAGCCTGCGCATCCGGAGCCTGTGCTCCGCAACGGGAGAGGCCACAACAGTGAGAGGCCCGCGTACCGCAAAAAAAAAAAAAAAAAAAAGAATAATTTATCCAAGAAATTTGTTATGTCAGAATGACCAATTAGATATGATTATAACTTGCCATGGCTAACACGGCACTACTGTTGGAAATCTGAATGGCATTAAAATCTAATTAGCATATATTAAGTTGAAGGCTGTTTTACTGCAGTGCACCAGCAGGTTTGAGCAGTGCCGGCCCAGCACATGGACTCACTGCCCACTTTGGCATGCTGGCCACGTTGCCCATGGCACCCAGGGGCGTGTCAGGAGAGCTCTGAGCAGCTTTTCTCTTCCTAAGCTGGGGACCAGATGGTCCATGCCTGCAGACAGGGGCAGCTCCGAAAGTGGACATGACATTCAAGGCTCTGTCCCTGGTTGAGATGAGTGGCCAGAATCCAAGGAAAAGCATCTTTGATTGTGGCAACACAGTCAGGGTGCTTTGGGGTCAGGTCTCTGGGCCAAGAGGATGGGGAGTGATTTTGGCAGCCCCTGAGGGCAGTTAGCTTCGGGGCAGAAAGCTAGCATCACAGATGGACCCTTCCCTGGGTTTAAGGGCATGGTGGGTCCTGATGTGAGGACCTAGAAAGCTAGCATCACAGATGGACCCTTCCCTGGGTTTAAGGGCATGGTGGGTCCTCTCCTCGGACCTAGAAAGCCCCTGGCCCAGGAACAGAAAACACTTACTGGGCTCCTACAGCGGGGGCTACTCTCTTGTTCTCAATCCTCATAAGAACTCCAAGAGAAAAGTTCCAGTATTGTGCCCATTTTATACACAGAGAACTTGAGGCTTAAAGAGGTTAAGGAACTTTCTCAAGATCATGTAGCCACAAAGTGGCAGAATCAGCTTTTGAACACAGGTGACTGTTTTTTTAAAGCTCTATCTCCTAACAGCTTGTTGCCAGAACGAATGAGGTCCATTGTCAGGTCCCGGTCAGGCTTGATCAATGCCCTCCGCTGCCAGCAGGGGGAGGCAGTGAGAGAGTAGGGAGCCTTGGGGGAGTGGGATGTGTTCATGGATGTATTCATGTCAGCTACAATGTCACCAGGGGATGTTCCAGGTGCAGAATAAGACCCCAAAATGATGCTCCATGGAGATTTTCTGAATGCAATCATCCCAATCAATGGTTTTTGAATTTTTTTAAGGGGAAAAAATCTTTCTTTTGTGCAAAAGCTAATAGAAAGTAGCAGATTAGATTACTGCCCAGCAAATATTGTCTCCCTCCCCACCACCTTCAGGATGGGTGTGTACTTCCCCTTCCACGCCCTATTGATGTTAGACATGGCCACGTGGCTTGCTTTGGCCAACAGGATGTTAGTGGATGCACCAGGAGCAGGGACTTCAAATATGCTTGACTGTTAGGCCTTCTCCCTGGAGCATCTGCCATCGCCAGGAGAACACACCTTGGGTAGCCGAGGTCCAGAGAGGATGAGGGATGCATGGAGCAGACCTGGGCCCAAGGCCCAGCTTGAAGCCAAGGCCAGCAAGGCCAGCCTGAGTGACAGCCCAGTGGACAGCGAGTAAGAAGTGAAGGCTTCTTGTTAAGTGCCACTGAGGTTTGGGTGGTTGTTACACAGCAAGAGCTGACTGATGTACCCGGGACACCATCATGAAAAAGACGAAAAGCAAGCAATCCCGATCAAGTAAAGAGACAGGACAGAGTCCTGCGCTCACCGCACAGGCCCTTCCCGTGCCATTATCACCAGCCTTATTTCTAACACTGTCATCAAATGCTTTGCTTCAGCTGGTTTAGTCCCTCAGCCCCAGCCTCTGGCCACACAACACTTCTGGATGTCCTCCCCGCCTCTGTTCCGGTTCCCCCATCACCCACTCTGACCCCCACAAAACACACTCAAACTCAGTAGGGGCCTGGGACCTGCCACACTCATCAGCCACCTCCTCCGGGAAGCCCCTGGCCTCCACCCTGCCCAATTTTGAGGCTCTTTTACCTTCTGCCAGCCGGCTGGGAAGGGGAGGAAAAGTGGACAGAGGCCTCCTGAGCTGCTTGTACCAGTCTGTACCCCACACTCCTACTGTTTCCCTGCACAGGGTCGCACCTGTGTCCCCAGATGCCTTCCACATTTTCCTCCAATAGCTGGGCCAACTCCCTGCCCCCAGCCCCAATCCCGCAGGAGGAAGGGGAGGCCCAGAGAGGCATGGTGGCCGACGGAGCCACACAGAAAGCCCGAGCCACACATTCTCCCTGGTGGCCTGGGGCGCTCTGGTGCTGGGACTGAGCTATGCTCAGGGAGAGAGATGTGACCTGAGGGTTGGGGCCAGGCCTGGGCAGGAGCAGGTGTCACGAGGAGACAGAGGGAGGAGTGTGATGGGGAGGAAATTATAGATCAGCTCAGGGGTCCCCAGCAGAGGCCTGAACAGGCCGGCCCCGCCCCCTCGTGGGGTTGCCGGAACGTCTGAGCAACTCCCACTCCTTAGCCTCTGTGCTGTGGTAAACTTCCAAGAAAAGAACCGCTTAGGGCTTCCCCGGTGGCGCAGCGGTTGAGAGTCCGCCTGCCGATGCAGGGGACGCGGGTTCGTGCCCCGGTCCGGGAAGATCCCACATGCCGCGGAGCGGCTGGGCCCGTGAGCCATGGCCGCTGAGCCTGCGCGTCCGGAGCCTGTGCTCCGCAACGGGGGAGGGCGCGACAGCGAGAGGCCCGCGTACCGCAAAAAAAAAAAAAAACTTAACAAATAATCTGTCAAATGTTAAGTGAATGCTAAATTCTTATAACAAATCAGCATACAACAATTTATTATTTCAGACATGTTTCAAGTAGCATAGGAAAAGCTAACATTAATACAGTGAAAAATGAGAATAAAATATCTTATACAAGGGCTTCCCTGGTGGCGCAGTGGTTGAGAGTCCGCCTGCCGATGCAGGGGACGCGGGTTCGTGCCCCGGTCCGGGAAGATCCCACATGCCGCGGAGCGGCTGGGCCCGTGAGCCATGGCCGCTGAGCCTGCGCGTCCGGAGCCTGTGCTCCGCAACGGGAGAGGCCACAGCAGTGAGAGGCCCGCGTACCACAAAAAAAAAAAAAAAAAAGAACCGCTTAAACCTCTTCTGGGCTCAGCTGGTATGCGGCCTGGGCACGGGCAGAGAGGCCACATCCTGGGAGCAGGCAACCCCACGTCCCAGTCATCTTGGGCACCAGCCCAGCTGCCTGGGGCTTACAGATCCAGAGGAGATGACCAGGGAGGAGACATCCCTATTGCTGTGCAGGGGCTACAGGGCATCACAGAGTGAGGGGCTTAAACAACAGACATTTATTTCCTCACTTCTGGAAGCAGGAAGTCCAAAGTATCGTCAGGGTTGGTTCCTTCTGAGGCCTCTCTCCTTTGCGTGTGGTGGCCACCTTCTCCCTGTGTCCTCACGTGGTCATCCCTCCTTACCTGTATCCTAATCTCTTCTTATAAGGGCACCAATCAAGTTGCACTGGGGCCCACCCTAATGACCTCATTGTAACTTAACTGTCTCTTTAAAGACTATCTCCAAACACAGTCGTGTGCGAGTTAGGACTTTAACATATGCGTTTGGGGGGACACAACTCAGCCCATAACAGCACCGCTCAGACTGAGAGGCCATGAGACCGACTCCTCTGGCCCCCACTGAAGCAGGGCAGCAAAGGACCACCCTGGGGACAGCGATCCTGTTCATGCAGGGTTGTTTCCTTGATAAAACTCTGCCTACACAGTGATAGGAACGAGCCAGTTACAGCTACAGGCCACAGAGTGGATGGAGGTCCCGGACATGCAGGTGAGGAGAGGATGCCGGACACAAAGAAACATGCACTGAGTCCACACACACAAAGTCCCAAAACATGCAAAGCAAATCTATACTGTTGGAAGTCAGGCCTCACCGTGGTTACCCTGGAGGAAGGGGAGGTGACTGGAGGGGGTATGAGAGACCCTTCCAGGGTGCCAGTCATGTTCTGGTTCTTAATCTGGGCACTGGTTCCAGGGCTGAGTTCCATTGGTGAAAACCCACTGGGCTGTCCACTGAAGGTGTACACACTTTTCAGTTTAGTGAATAGTATTGTGCCAGGGTCAACTTCCTGGTTTGACAATGCTCTGTGGTTATGTAAGACATCATTGGGAAAAGCTGAGTAAAGCATGGGAACCCTGTACTATTTTTACCACTTCTTGTGGGTCTCAAATTATTTCAAAATCTTTTTTTTTGGTGCTCTAAGTAAAAATGATAAAAGCAAGACGTTTTAGGTTTATTTTAAGGTTTTGTAACACTTCCAGCCCCAGAGGAGTTGAAATAAATTTTAAATTAAAAAACAAACAAAAGAGTATGCACTTTTCCGTGTGTATGTTACAGTGCAATTAAAAGTTTAAAAAGAAAAAACGCTTCTGCCAGTCTCTGAGCTTTTCTAAAAGGAGAGGAGAGAAGTAGCATTCATGGAGTACATTTTACGTGCTAGATATTTCTAGGCACTTAACCCAAGTTAAGCCATTCATTACTCTGAGTTGGGGGGTGGTCACTCTTGTGTCCATTTGCATATGAGGTAACTGAGGCTCAGAGAGGCAAGGGAAGCTGCCCAATGACACACAGCTCATTCAGGTCTCGGTCGAGGTTCACACCCAGTGCTGGCTGCTTCAAGACCCCTGCTCTTGTCCCTGCCCGTGCTTGGGCCACTCAGAAGGACACCTCTCCCTGCTCTGCTGCCCTGGACTGCCCTGCCCAGCCTTGCCATGGGGCACCCCTCCCCTGCCAAACGCTCTCCACTCCGACTCACAGGATGCCGATGTAGAGTTTTCCAAGGGATGTCCGCCCCACCTGCCAAGCGCCCTGGCTGGCATTGACCTTCGGACCCTTATTAGCTCCATTAATTGCAGTGCTGAGTATGCAGCTCTCCTTCCTCAGGTCCCTGCAGACCCTGAAGCCCATTCCATGCTGGGCCCCTCCCTCAACACATCTGTACACCCTCAGCACCAAAGTCCCCAAGACCCTTGGAGCTTGAACAAAATTAACTCATGTATCCAACCAACCCAGTGGGGAGGACACCTGCTCATTGCCGTGGGCCCTAAATTAACCTGGTTTAGCATGCCCTCTGAATTTCGGCTCAAGCAGCACTTTTAGGGACTTTCAGGCACCTGGGAACCAAAGAACAGCTGGAGGAATGGGAGTTGATGACTATAACTCCAGCCTCAAAGATCGTCTCTCAGGGTGGACTGAGGTCAAGGGCGAGGATGAGCTGCTGCTGACCTGGGGAGTCGGTGGATCCGGCTTTGGTACATATACCTGGCAATCAACTTGTCTGGGTCCTCCTGGCCTGGCAACCACCCAGAGAATGCCGTCGACTGTCCTGCAGGATGCTGACGTGTGTTCTGCCCAAAGGAGGTCTGCGAGCATACAGGCTCGCAGTAAAGAAATTTTCCTTTACTGAAGGTCTTCTCAGAGCCCTTATGGCGCTAATATGCTGCAGAGTCTCCAGGAGGGACCGATCCAAGACAGTGTTCTCTGCTCTCCTTTGGACAGTCCCTCAGAGAAATGCTGGTCCCAGGCCTTCAGCACAGATGTGTCTCGGGGGCAGTTCTGGAACAGGATGAGAAAGGAAAGAATTTGCAGTGGTGGTTAGGTAATGGGCAGAAGTACTACTGCTCCCATTTGGCAGAGGGGGAAAAGTGAGGCTCAGAGAGGGAGAGAGACTTGCCAAGTCAGCAGGCACATTCGTGCCAGAGCCAGCCCTCAGTCTCAACAAAGTGTTCTTTCTACTGCCCAGGGCCAAGGTCAGGTGGGTGGAAATCTACTCAGAGAAGATGTTTCAGGGTTCCTTGGTGGGAATGATGTAGTGTCCAAACTGCCTACCAGCCCTGGGAGGAGGAATCAGCAGAGCTACGTCATGTATAACTCCCCTGTAACATTTCCAAATCTCTTTCAAAACTATTCATCATCTTTTCTTTAACAAAATGTTGTCATTATCTTTTTTAATCTTTACAACCTTTCTTTAAATCTTAGGCATTAGAGCCTCATTTTAAAGAGAAGGCACACGGACCTCAGTGAGGCGACGTGATTTGTCCAAGGTCTCAGGTCCAACTGATGTCAGAGCAGGGGTGTCCCTCCCGGTGTCCCAAGATCCTGAGCGCTGGCTGGCCTCCATCCACACTCTGGCCCCTGCCCTCCAGGGCAGCACCTGGGTCTTGCTCAGTTCAGTGGTCCCACCACTCCCACCCCAAGTGCCAAGTTGTCAAGGGGGAAGCCCCGGCTCTTGGTGCAGAGTCCCCCAGGGGAGGGCACTAAAGGGGCGACTTGGGGTCCAAATCTTCGTGCGTCCAAGGAACTGCCCCGCCCAGCTACTTCTCTCCTTCTTCCTCATTACGTCACAGCCAAGGTCAAATCCTGGTCCAGCAGCCTGGGCATGGCAGGACTCCTTAAAAGAGGGGGCTTCTCCTTTCTGCTTAGTAAAGGAGGAGGTTACCTGAGATATGAATTTCACTTCCTTGGGAGGAAACGTATCCCCTCTGTTTTAAATCGGGAAGTTCAGAGTGAGCAATTTACAATAAGCAATTAGCAAGTTCAGAGTGAGCAATTAACTTACCATGAGTCACACAGTAACCAGAGATGGAGTTGGTCGACTGACCTTTATCCATCAGACCAGTGGGTCTCGTAATTTACAGTGCCTAGGAATCCTCTGGAAGGAAGTGGGTGGTGCAGACAAACATTCACATAGTAGGCCTGAGACTGCTGTCCTTTGAAAGGCCTGCTTGCAGGTGTGGCCTTGGCTGTCCTCTGGGAACTTGGTTTTGGAGAAGGTTCCAGCTGATAAGAGCAGCTCACATTACCTGACCTGTCGTGCAAACAACGTGCTTTAGGCTGAAGCCCTGCTTTTCTTCTGGGAGTCTGGAACTTTGGAACATGCCAGGCAGAAGGTTCCTGCATGACCAGCCCCTGGTACAATCCCTGGGCACCCAGTCTCTGAGGACCTCTTCTGGGAGACAGCATTTCACACGTGTTCTCACAACCCAGTGCTGGGGGCATCAGCTCGCCCTGAGGGACTCCAGGGAGAGGCTCTTGGAAGTTTGCATCTTGTTTCCTCTGGACAACCCCCCCAGGCTCCTTTTCCCTTTGCTAATTTTGCTCTGTTTCCTTCCACTGTAGTAAAATCATAGCCGGGGTATGCTGAGTCCTGTACCTCTTCCTCATGAACCATCACACCTGGAGGTGGCCCTGCCCCCACCCCCCCAGCCACAGGCCGATATTACAATGCAGATTCCGGGTCACCTGCTCCATGAGTTATGATTCAGTGGGTCTGGGAATGAGGCCCGGGAGTCTGCACACTTGCACACACTCTGGATGGCTCTGAGACCAGGGGTCTGCAAACCTCGCTTAGAGAAACACCACCTCCTGGTTCTATGGTGGCCATTTTATTAAGGAAAGTGTTGCCTGGGGAGCCTTTCTCTGAAAACTCCACAGCTCTCTGGGGAAGGAAGACTGTGGGGCAGGGGAATGGACCAGAAAACTTTGGAGTTCTCTCTGAGATGCTGCGTCACCCATTTTCTGCCTTATTCCGCTTATTCTCCTTTTTCGCCTTATCCCTCTCTTCTTCTGAAGGAGAGCCCAGAGCGTGAGCGTGAAGCTATTTTCATGCACTGCCTCTGTGTCCTGACTGCACTTCATCGTGGCCAGTGGGAAGAGTACCTTCCCTAATCACAGCCTGGAAGCTGTCAGATGAAGAGGCTTAGAGGAGAGCTGGGGGAGAGGGAAGAGGGGTCTAACCGGCTGCCAGAGAAATGGGACTGATGAAGGGAAGCTGGACGCTGGGATGGCAGTGCCTTTCAAGCCTCTTTTCAATCTGGTGGCCGGAGGGGCGGCTCTCCCTGCCCGGGCTGGAGGGGCAGGGGCAATCAAAGGCCATTGCTGGCCAAATAAACATCATTCTCAAGGTGCTAATGGCGGCTGATAGAAATGCCCAGTCGTCCTGACTCGCCATGTCACTGTCCCCTTTTGCATCTACACTGGCCGGCAGTTTGACCTCTGTGCACGCCCAAATTCCTCCCGATTCTCCAGCTTAGAAAGATTAAGTCATCTTCAGCGTGCCTTAGTTTAGTGGCTCCAGCATCAATACCTTTTTTTTTTTTCAGAGCTGCGTGGATTCATTGAATCGATTCAGAGCCACGCTAATACAATGAATATTCACTGCGCACCTACTACCTGCCAGGCACTATTCTAGACTCTGGGGATGCAGCAGTCAGCAAACCAGACAAAAATCCCCACCCCTGTGAACCTGACATTCTAGTGTGGGAGGCAGACAATAAGCAAAGTAACTAAGTAAAATGTGCCTTAGAAAATACATTCTATAAAGCAGGAGTCCCCAGCCTTTTTGGTACCAGGGACCGGTTTCGTGGAAGACAATTTTCTACAGACCGGGGGGCGGACCGGGGATGGTTTCAGGATGATTCCAGCACACTGATTTATTATGGTCTCCGGGCAGTCAAACCTCTCTGCTAATGATAATCTGTGAGCCCAGCAGCCCACGTCCCAGGTTTGGCCCGATAATCGAGCCAGGGAAGACAGACAGCCCGTGGCCTGGTTCCCCTGGAGAAGCTGAGAAGGCAGAGGTGATTACACCAAGAGGTAAACTGAGTCCAGGCCTGCAAAGGAGCTCAGCAAACAGAGGTGACAATGGCAGCAAAACCATGACACTCTGCCCTTGCTCTGCCCTCTGCAGAGAGTACAGGAGGACCGCCCTCTGCGTGGCCCACACAGAGGCTGCGGACATAACAAGGGTAAATGATTGCCTGTCCCCATGAGCGTCAATTAGCTCCTCGTCTTTCGAAGGGTTTTCACAGCGTTACCTGGAAGCAGCCAAACGTTCAGCAAGGGCCTTTGTAGAACCAGGAAGGCGGGCTGGGGGCGATGTCCGTGGCAGAGTTGCTGGCTGCATACTCATGGTGCCCCCAACACTGAGCTGGCCAGACCAGGGACCTGGGTGGACCAGGGGAGGGCCACCCCAACCCAGGGGAGGGGACGGAGAGTGCGGACCCCACTTCTCCGATTGCCAGGTGCTCCCGGGAACTGCACACGTCACCCCTGCACTTTGCAAGGTCAACACAGAAGACAGATCCATCCCCTTCTTTATCCCAGGTTTGGAAACCGAGGCACGGAGCAGAGAGGGGCTTCTCTAGATCCCAGGCTGCTTAGTGGCAGAGGCGGGACTGGAACCCAGGGCCCTGACCCTGGTCAGGTGTCCTGCCTGCTACCCACCAACCCAGCTGGTTTTGAGGCTGATTGCACCTGACCCTGAAGGCTTCTCAGAACGTGCCTTGCTCTGGAGCCCCTCCTCTGAGCCCCCACCGAAGAGGAAGGTAGTTGAAGCTAAGGGGGCTCTGGGGTTGGTTTGCCAGCTCTGTCTGAGACTTTGGCAAGTGACTCACCTTCGACGAGCTTCATCGTCCACATTTCATAGCTGAGAAAATTAGCACGTGCCTCATACGGCTTCTGCGAGGATGGAATGAAGTCAAGAATAAAAAGCACTTAACGAAGCACCAGGGGAAGATGTTCTGTAATTACAATACATTGTTTATGATGATGATACGCTTATACAGACCCTAGGCCTCACACAAGGGGCTTCCAGATCATCATTTCCAACTCTGTAATCAACTGACAAATCCGGTGGGCCACCCATCCTGGGTACAAGTACTTTGGGGTTGCAAAAAGTACCATTCTCCTAGCTGCCCTCAGGGACCCACGGTCTGGCTACCGATAAGAGGCTCACGGCACACAGTCGGGGGCAGATCTGTGCCAAGCTGGGGGCTGATGACAAGGAGTCATGAGAGGTCAGAGGAGGGAGAGAGCTGGCGTAGGGAGAACGGAAAGGCTTCGGCCAGGCAGAGGTTTTTTAATTGGAGGGAGTATCAGATTCACCAAAGGCAAAGCGTAACCAGAGCTGCAGGTGCCTGGTCTCCACCCCAACCCATCCTGGAGAGGAGCCCAGGAAGCTACCTTTAGCAAGCTCCCCAGGGTATGGCTGCAGGTGGCTCTTCCAATCCCCGTCTCACCTGCCCTCCCTCTGCTCCCAGGCCTGGACCATTTCACCTCACACCTCCAGGCCTTTGCGTTTGCGGTGTTCCGCACCTCAGGGCTCTTTCTTCTCTGCCTGGCTTTCTCCTTGCGCACCTTTCAGGACCAGCCTCGGAAAAGCCAATTACACCCTCCCTGTCACCACCACCTGGGCACACCTGGACCGCATTCATCCCCAAAGCAGAATCCAGGCTCCGGAGTCAGGCTGACTCCAGCTGGAATCCCTGATCCTCTACGGATATATTGTTTGGGCAAGTGAGTCAACTTCTCTGAGCTTCAGGATTTGCAGCTGTAACATGAGTATAAAATATTCTCCCAGAATTATTGTGGTGATTACAGGAAGTAATGTATACAAAGTGCTTCATACAGGAAATGTTCAACCAATATAAGCTAATATATTAGGAACATTAATAATTAGAGTAATAACAATGACGTCTGTTGGCACGTGTCTCCCCCACTAGACTGGAGATCCTAGGGGGACTGTATTATTTCTCTTTATTACTCCTGGCTTCTACCATTAGGCTTGAAATGAGTAGGCAATCACTGTTGACCCTTGAATAACATGGGGGTTAGGGGTGTCGATCACCCCTGCCCCGTGCAGTTGAAAATTCCCATATAACTTTATAGCCGACCAGGTATATTCATGGTTCTGCATCTGCAGACTCAGTCAACCTCAGATCGTGTAGTTCTATAGTATTGACTGAAAAGAATCTGAATGTTAGGTGCCCCTCGCAGTTCAAACCCATGTTGTTCAAGGGTCAACTGTAGTGAATGAATGAACTCATGCATTAAGGAGCTTGGGGAGGTCAGGAAAGGCTTCCAAGGGGAGATAAATACTGATCCAGGCTGGAGAAGATTTGGAAGATTTGAATGGTATATCAGTTAACTATGGCCTCAGTTATGCTGTGGAACAAGCCAGCACCAGACCTCAGTGACGGACAACAGAAAGCATTGATCAAGCTCCTCACAGCAGGTTGGCTGGGGCTCTGGGATGAGCTGGGCTGTACCGGGCCGGCTCAGCTAGGGCTCTGTTCCCCAGGTCTCTCATCCTTCTCCCGGGGACGGCAGGCTAGCTCAGGCGTGTTCTTCTCTAGACTGTGGCAGAGGACCAAGGGGACAAGCAGAGTCACGCAAAGCCTCTTGACACCTGTGCTGACTATTCATAATAGCCAAGACATGGAAACAACCTAAATGTCCATCAACGGACGAATGGATAAAGAAGACGTGGTACATATATACAATGGAATATTGCTCAGCCATAAAAAAGAATGAAATAATGCCATCTGCAGCAACATGGATGGACCTAGAGATTGTCATACTGAGTGAAGTAAGTCAGACAGAGAAAGACAAATACTGTATGATATCTCTCATATGTAGAATCTAAAATATGACACAAATGAACTTATCTACAAAACAGAAACAGACCCACAGACATAGAGAACAGACTTATGGTTGCCAGGAGGGAGGGGGGTGGGGGAGGGATGAAGTAGGACTTGGGGGTTAGCAGATGTAAGCTATTATATATAGAATGGGTAAACAGCGGGGTCCTACTCTATAGCACAGAGAACTAGATTCAGTATCCTATGATGAACAATAATGGAAAAGAATATATATGTATAATTGAATCATTTTGCTGTACAGCAGAAATTAATATAACATTGTAAATCAGCTATACTTCAATAAAATAAACTAAAAAAAAAAAAAGACCCGTGCTGAGAACTAGGCTCACTGTTATGTCCACCTCATTCTATTGGCCAAAGCAAGTCCTATCCCCCAACTCAAAGTCAGATGGTGGGAAATACCCTCCGCCTTTTTTTGTTGTTGTTGTTGTACGCGGGCCTCTCACCGTTGTGGCCTCTCCCGTTGCGGAGCACAGGCTCCGGACGCGCAGGCTCAGCGGCCATGGCTCACGGGCCCAGCCGCTCCGCGGCATGTGGGATCTTCCCGGACCGGGGCACGAACTCGCGTCCCCTGCATCGGCAGGCGGACTCTCAACCACTGTGCCACCAGGGAAGCCCCCCCTCCGCCTTTTAATGGGAGAAACTGCAGAGTCACACAGCAAAAGGAGGGCTGAAGTAGTGGGATTAAATCACAACCTCCCACCGGTGGGCACAGGGGAGGGGGGGAAAGGGGATGCTCTGTGGGGTGGGAGGACAGAGGAATAAGCAGACGAAGAAGCCAGTCTAGAATGCCTGTTATGGGGTTGGATGGTCCCGTAGGGATGGGTCATGTGGTCCCTCATGCTCCCAGGACTGTTAGAGCATCATTCATTCATGTATTCATTTGTTCATTGAATGGCATTCACAGTGCACGTACTGTATGCTGGGCTTTCTTCTCAGCGCTGTGGATATCATGTCAGTAAAATGAGCCAAGATCCCAACACTCCAGATGAAGAGGCTCTGCTGCTTTTTCTGGCTCCTCCACCAACTTACCCTGTGACCTTGGGAAAATCCTTCCTTCTCAGGACATCCCAGCCGCCACTAATAATACCTTACCTTTGTAGAACACTTTTAACTTTATCAAATCATCCTCACATAACGTTCTCTGTGAAGCATCGGAGACTGGTTTTATTACATCCTTGACGTGACAAGCGAAACTCTTCATAGTTATAAAATGCACGGCTCCTTGGAAGTGCTCTCCAGAGAGGACTCGGAGGGCAAACCCCTTGCAACAAACCCTAGGATTCTCTCTACAGCAAAGCCGGTCCCTGGATAAGGGTAGGTGGTTGTCATTTCCAACAACTTTTGGGGCCTCACAATTCTTGTGTGACCCAAGGACTGAGACAGCTTCCTTTGTCTTCCCTTTTATTTTAAAAAGCCACTGCTCTGAACATTTCAAAGATTCCAGTAGAACTTTTCCAATTTAATTTAAAAAAAAAAACAAAAACTGCCTCTTCCTAACTGGCTTCACAAATGAAAAGAGTTGAAAATGAGACATAAGCCAGGCCGCAGAGAACAGCCTAATCACTTGAGCTCCTTATTTAATAAGGAGATGCTCCACCACCACAGAAAACCAGGCTGCACATTGTACAAGACGAAAGAGAGACAGAAGCCTGCTTCCTTCCTGTCCCATCAAATCTGCCTCTCAGCCTCGGAGGGGGTCAAGCCTAAAGCAGGCTTCTCTGGCTGGGGGTCTACTATGGGCTATACACTTACGAAAATGCCTCACCTTCCATCAGTTCTGTTGGTGCGTATACCATCTCACAGGCTAGGAAACTGAGACTCAGCCAGACAGAAAGTCACTGCTAGTAACACCAGCTGAGCTGGATGCCAACTCAGACCCATCTGAACCCAAATACTGTGTTCTTTCCCATTTTCCACATCTCTTTGTTATGTGGGTGGGGGGTGGGTGTTTAATATGGTAGGGGAGCTGGGTGCCAGGTGCAGTGAAGAAGGAAGGAAGGAAGGAAGGAAGGAAGGAAGGAAGGAAGGAAGGAAGGAGGGAGGGAGGGAGGGAAGGTAGCATTTACCTTGTAGTGTAGTGTAGATGTGGAGTTGAATTCTGAAGGAACGCCTTCCAGAATTTGCAGGGCAGCTCCCTGGATCATTTTCAGAGCCAGGTGCTGTAGCAGATGCTACGGGAGCTCTGTCCCATCGCCTTGGCCTATCTGGAAGTTGCCTGCCACTCGGATGGACAGGTTCCCTACAGTGAGAGGCCATCCTACCTCCAACGGGACATCTCTCTGACCGCAGGCTTTCTCTGGCCACAGGAATCTGTGTCAGGGCCAGCCAGGAGTGTCAGGGAGTTAGTTCTCCACCCACCCCAGTAACCCACCACAATGAAGGATGAGAGTTCGTGGATGTGTCAGTTACCTACTGCGGCATAACAAACAACCCCAAACTCAGAAGCTTTACAGTTGTTTATCTGCCGGTGATTCTGCAATTGGGCTGGGCTCAGCTGGAATGGTCTCGCAGGGTCACTCATGAGCTGCAGTCATCTGGCAGCTGCCCTGGACCTCAAGATGCCTGGCAGTTAGGTGAAGCTGCGGGCCGGGCGCCTCGGTGTCCGCTGTCAGGAGAGTCCAGGCTGCGTTTATGACGGCAGCCGTGTTCCCAGAAAACTGGCCCCTAAGTGCACGTGCTCACCAGGCCTCTGCTGCCATCACATGTGCTCACAGCCCCATTGGCCAGAGCAAGTCACATGGCCCAGCCCAGTGCCACTGCGAGCAGGGCCTCGGCCAGGCCAGGGCGTGGACACAGAGAGGTGAGGCTCACAGGGGGCTATTAACAAGCAACCTACCCCAGTGGGTAAGGATGCTAGCTTCCTCAACCCTCAGTGGGACAATCCTTAGGTGTGTCCTTTTTAGTCTCTTGGAGTCCCCAGAGGGCTCGAGCCCAGGTGTCCACAGCTGTAGCCCCCACTCATAAACACGTTTTTTTAAGACTTTCTTTCTTCCCTGGCTCACTTTTCCCACTCCCTCACTGAGCTTCCCGAAATCGCCTCCCAAATAACCCACCTGCACTCAAGTCCCTGTGTCAAGGTCAGCTCTGGGGAAACCTAAATGGGGACCGTAGCACAGCCAGGAATCAGAATCCCCAGCATGTTTTTGATTCTGCCTTACTGGCCCCTGGGAGGGACAGGTGGGGACAGGACACAGTGAATGAGAACACGGTTTCTGGGGCCCTGGGGAGCCCCCGAAAGCTGTATGCAAAAAGGGGCGTGATCAGCAGACAACTCCTGCCCCTCTGAGCCTTGGCCTGATATCGGGGATGGACCAGGCTGGGTTCAGGGGTGGGGACCTGCCCTGCCCAATAGGGACGGAAAGACAAGACCCTGCAAAGGCATGTCCTAGTTAGGGAAGACCCGGCCCCTCACCAGCCCCTCCCCCCCTTACCCAGGTCCATCAGGGTCCCCAGCCCCACCCCCCCCACACACCCGGTCCATCCGGGTCCCCGGAGCTGAACTCACATTTTGCGGGTCTGAAACCAACCCACCCTTTTCTGAGTTGTGTTTTTTACTGATTATGCAAAATATCCCTCCCCTGCCTAAGCAAAGCAGGCTGGAAGTGGGGCAGCTCGACAGGATAAGATGGGCAAACGACAGATTACAGCCGCCCACTCTAGTAAACACAAGTTTAATTGCTTTTTCAGAGGGGAGAGAAGGAGGGGACAGGCTCAGAAATAAAACAAATTCCCACTCGGCTGTGTCAGGGCTGCTGAGCTGATGGTGGGAGCTCTGAGCTGAAAGCAGTGGGTTCTCACCCGTGGGAGAGAGGAGGCAGGCAGCGGAGAGGACGCGCTGGAGACTTGGAAGGCAGCAGCAAGGGCAGGCTGTCTGCCCTTCAGGTCGGTTCAGGTCAAGGGCAGGGCAGTCTGTGCCACGGGAGTGGGGAGAAGCGTTCTCACCTGGATCTAGAACAACAACAGCAAGAAGAATGGTATCTCACCCTTATTGTGGACTTGCTATGCGGCAGCCACTGAACTAAGTGCCCTACATGAATGAACCCCTTAATCCTCACAGCAGCCCTGTCACAGTATTACCATCTTACAGATAAGAAAACGAGGGAACTGAGTTTAGAGAAGTTTAAAAAGTACTGAAAGTTCATATAATGAATAAAGGGTGGGCCTGGGATTCAAACCCACGTCTGTCTGATGCCAGTGACTCTACCTTTCAGCACAAAGCTAGCAACGTCCCTAAATACTATTGCACTCATCAAAGTAATGACTTCTATGTGTTGTCACTCTGTGCTAGGCCCCCAGACCTACATGCCAGGCTAGGAATGAGAGATGGCCCCTGCCCTTGAGAAGCCCATGATTCAATGAGGTAGAGAAACACATACATGAAACATTACAGTGATAAGGGCTTGAAAAGGTGAAGAAGATGGGGTGGGGGCAGAGGGGGCCCCTGCTTCTACCCGCAGAGTTTACAGGATTAGGCTTTACGGGCTTTGCAGAGGAGGCTAAAAGGATGAGCTGGATTTCACTGGACAGGCCAAGAAAGGGATAACAGAACAGCATGTAGAAGGTCCTCAGTAAGGCAGTAGCTAGCATGTTCTGGATCTGCCAACAGCCTGCCGTGGCCAGGACACCGGGGGGCTGTCAAGGAGGACGTGGAGACCATGGTGAGAAGGTGGCAGGACCACATCATGACGGGTCTTAGCAGCCAGCGGAAGGCCGCCCCTACTCCCCAGTGCTAGCCTTCCTTCAAGTGTCATCTGCCTTGGCAGGATGCTCCCAGAACCATGATGTTCCCCGGCCAAGGAAGTTTGGGAAGCACCACACACTTTTGCTCCTTCCAGAAGCTGCATGGGTGTCTGAGAAACCTTGTAGTAAAGAAAGCTGCCACTCCACTATATATAAAATCGATAAACAACGAGGTCACTGTACAGCACAGGGAACAATATTCAATATCTTATACTAACCTATCATGGAAAAGAATCTGAAAAAGAATATACATATCCTTATTCTTATATATATGTATAAGAATATATATACAGGGGCTTCCCTGGTGGCGCAGTGGTTAGGAGTCCGCCTGCCGATGCAGGGGACGCGGGTTCGTGCCCCGGTCCGGGAAGATCCCACATGCCGCGGAGCGGCTGGGCCCGTGAGCCACGGCCGCTGAGCCTGCGCGTCCGGAGCCTGTGCTCCGCAACGGGAGAGGCCACAACAGTGAGAGGCCCGCGTACCGCAAAAAAAAAAAAAGAATATATACACACATATATATATGCATAACTGAATCACTTTGCTGTACACCTGAAACTAACACAACATTGTAAACCAACTAGACTTCAATCAAAAACTAAATAAAAAGAAAAGAAAGCTGCTTATTTCTGCTGAGGTTAGTCACCCCAAACCTATCTGACCCCGGACGCCTCCTCTGACCCATGAGTACCCGCTGTGATCAGCATTCCAGGGACAAACACTTCAGGAGACATCTCTGTGAGTGCCGTAGCCAGGGCAGCGACAGGGAAAGGCCATGTGACCATTGCTCTTTCCCGTGTCTTCAAGCCCCAAGAGACCTGCACCCTGAGGGTGGCAATAATGATAGTAATAGTAACCGATGTTAACTGAGCACTTGCCGTGACCCGAGCTGGGCCCCAAGCCTAAGTGCTCTGTGTATCATCTCACCAAATTGTCATACTATTATTATTCCCATTTTACAGATGGGGAAACTCAGGCACAGAGAAGTAGGAATTTGCCTATCTCTCTATCCGTGGGTGGAGGAACCAGGATTCACACCCCAGTCTGCCAAACCCTGAGGTCCCAGAGCTGTCCCTGTACCGCAGCTCCAGTCTGCAGGGAAGACCCCAATCCTACATTAGGATGAGGTGAGAAACGAGTCTTTCTTTCTCATTTAGGAAAAATTCTCAAGGTGCCAGCTCCTCTACCCTTCACGGGGACTGCATCATTTCTAAAACAGCAAAGCCAAGTCAATCCAATTCAGCAAACGATTCCAGACTCCCGTTTGGCACAAGGGGCTTCTGAGGGTGTGAGAGGAGAGTCAGTCCCTGGCTGCCAGGAATCCCGCTCCTCCTGGAGGCTCTGATCACATAATCCCTGAGCAGAAGTGACTTTGGAAATCACACAGTCTCCCAAACTCGGATGGAAAGAAAAGCCAGACAATGAGATACCACTACACACCCATTAGCGTGGCCAAAATCCAGGGCACTGACACCACCAAAGGCTGGTAAGGATGTGGAACCACAGGAACTCTCATTCAATGCTGGTGGGGATGCCAAATGGTACAGTCACTTTGGAAGACAGTCTCTTACAAAACTAAGCGTGCTCCTAGCATACCATCCAGCAATCACGCTCCTCGCTATTTACCCGAAGGAGATGAAAACTCATGTCCACACAAAAGCCTGCACATGGATGTTTACGGCAGCTTTATTCATAACTCCCAAAACTTGAAGATGTCCTTCGGTAGGTGAATGGATAAAGAAACTGTGGCATATCCAGACAATGGAACATCATTCAGCACTAAAGAGAAATGAGCTATCAAGCCATCAAAAGACAAGCGGTAAACTTAAACGCATAAGAAGCCAGTCTGAAAAAGTTGTATGATTCTAACTATATGACAGTCTGGAAAAGGCAAAACTATGGAGACAGTCAAAAGATCCGTGGCTGCCAGGGTTTGGGAAAGAGGGAGCACAGAGGATTTTTAGGGCAGTGAAACTAATTTGTGCGATACGACAAAAGTGGATACAAGTCATTTTACGTTTTTCAAAACTCACAGAGTGTCCAAGACCAAGAGTGAATCCTAAATGTAAACGGCAGACTCTGCCTGATTATGAGGTAGAGGTTTATAAATTATAAAAAATGTACCGCTCTGGTGGGGAAGACTGTGTGTGGCGAGCAGGGAAAGTGTAGGAAACCTATGTACCTTCCCTTCAATGTTCCTGCGAACTGAAAACTGCTCTTAAAAAAAAAAAATAGTCTTTAAAAAAAAAGAAAGAAAAGCTGATGTCAAATCCCCAAATTTAGAACTGGGGGTGGGAGCCCTGGAGCTCACCTGCAGAACTTTCCCTCCCCGCTCCCCTGGGAGCTCTAGGTAGGAGAAATAGGAACAAATAAAGCACTGTGAAATCAGAGGAGAAGGAAATGAATTTCGCCAGGAAAATCTCCTTCAAAGAGGTGGGCCTGATCTGAGCTGGAAACTGGGGCGAAGGTCTAGCGGGCAGAGAGTTCCCAGTGTGTTTAATGAGGCAGGTTCTGGGATGTGTGGGGTGGAAGCGATGGGAGGAAGGTGACAAAACCTCCGTGTTCACTCACACCCCACCTCACCTCCAGCATCCTCCCCCAGCCCTTTCTGGGCTGCAAGGACAGGGCAGGTGGCAGGGCCAAGCTTTACTGCTTTCTGTGGCAAGCATCTGAATATCTTCTCTGAAATTGGAGACTTTCCTACTGACCTGGTTGTTGTTGGCAGGTCTGGCCTGAATTCCAGGGGACAAGGAAGGCTGGAAATGGCACCTTGAAAAGGTCACCTGCCCTTTCCCAAAGCCTGGGATCCAGCCAGGTCAGGAATGCACCTTGCCCCTGGCAGAGCCTCCAAACGCAGACCAGGAAATGTTCTGTTTAACACCTGTGAGAGGTGGCACAGGACACAGTTAGCAACCCTGTGGGCCGTAAAGCCGTCATGGCCTGAGCTCTGCTTCCAAAGCTGCGGGATCTCAAGAAAGTAGCTCTCCCTCTCTGAGCCTGGATCTTCATCCACAATGAGGGGATAGTGGCATACGTATCATGAGGTTCTTACAAGGATCCCACGAGATTGTGGGTGTGGCCACGTCCTGCTAACAGTACAGGGCTTTATGCAGTGTCTGGGGCCACGGAAACATCAGGCATTCTTTTGAGCGCTCAGCACACAGCCCCACACATGGGGTACCCCCTGAATTCATACACACACAGTAGGGTACCCCCTGAATTCATACACACACAGTAGGGTACCACCTGAATTCACTTACGCATGGTAGGGTAAGTCACCGCAGCTGGTGCACTTCAGAGGACGCCGAAGTGGCCACATGCACGTCAGTAACTCTTACTGTAAAGCCCCCTTTCTCACAACTCCTGACGTTTGAGTCAGAATGGGGTGGGGACAGCATTTGAGACAAACCCCACCGCCCTCCAGTAACTCACCACGAAGTCTGAGAATTATAGCCATGAAGCAGACCCCCAAAGGCCAATTCTTTCTCAAGTTTAAGGGCAATTTGCAGTTATATCAACTATCATTTGAAAGCCCCTACTGTGTGCCACCTACTTCACATTAATGATTTGGAAGTATATGCCCTTCAGGTTCTAGATGGGGATGCCCAGAACAGTTGAGTGATCTGCTCTTGGCCACAGTAAATCAGGGCCAGATCAGGCTGCCAATCCAGGTCTCTCTGAAGCCAACTCTCTGCCACTGCTTCTCCACTTTGCAGTGTAAAGGGAAGACTGCAGGAGTTTTGAGTGACAGCTACTTCTGAGCAATCCCAGAGGCCTTCCTGGAAGGGGTGGGGGTCAGAGGCCTACCTAGGTCCTGGGAGAGCACAGAACAGTCCGCAAGCCTCCCAGGCAGTACTGGCCCAGCCACCAGACAATGAGGGAAGAACCCTCTGCCTGCATGGCCCTCATTTGATCTTTGTCTCTGCTGCGTGGATTTAAGATGCACCAACCCTCAGTGCTCCGGCGGGGGGGGGGGGGGGGGGGGGCTTCAAATAAACATGATAAAACAACCATTAGACCTTTGCGGTTGGGAAATGGAGATTTACAGACTTCCAAACCTCCATTTAAATGCAAATGCAGCATCTGCCTGGAACCATGGATCTGAGGAGCCATAAAGTCACCATGTCCCCTCGCTCCTGCTACGCTGGGCCACCTCAGGCCCCCATTTAATCTGAGGGGCGCTGCGGGCACCTGCTGGAACCAGTGGGGAC